TATTTTCAGGAACCTTGTAGTAATTTTCAGATAAGCCCTCGCCATCCCTAGCCTAAACCCTAAACCTTTTTTGGAAGCCCCTACTGTTGATGGATGAAATCTTGCACCACCTAGGGGCCCTAAACTATTGTAATTCCTAGGACTTTAGGGACTTTAGGTGGTGTAAGATTTCCTCCATCAATAGTATGTCAGGGTTGAGGGCTTGAAGTTTCTGACAGCAGGGGTGCGCCTTGAATGCTGAGGAAAAAAACGGCATTCCAAATTTCAAAGTAGAATCTTAATCCCTGAATACTTATGGGGCCCTCTTTCCAAATTCCAAAGTACTACCCCGAACACTGAACGCTAAACAATCATGGACCAGCAGTTAGCAACCCAGGATCTCGTCCCGGCTCCATGAGCTAGACCTCCTGAGTAGTGTTGAACCTAGTAATATAGGGATAATAGAAAAGAAAATGGAAACTACTATACTATAATAGGGTATATATTGGGGTTATACTGGGGTTATATTAAGTAATGTTTTTTTTGGTGGTTAAACCTAGTAAGATTATAATTCCTTGTATAAAATACTATACCCCAAAAAAGGATACAATCTTACTCTAGATTGGGCACCATAGTATCCACAAATAGAATACTACTCTCCTGGCTCGGGGCATTTCTACCTAAACCCTTAACCTAGCACCCTAATGCACTAATCACCGAGTCAAGCCAACGCCACACCGAACATTGGACATCGTTACAAGAGTTGTGGTTATGGTCATCTTCACCACCACCAAGGTCCTGACGATAATCATGATCGCCATAAGAACCATCATCATCGTCATCATCATCCTCATCGCGGCTCAACCTCCTGGGATCCACACATGCCGTTGTTCCAGAAAAAGGCCTGCCAGCAGAGTTCACGTGAATGGTACCTGAAAGTACGGGTACCTGAGGGACCCGTGGACACAACATGTAGATCATACGGGACTAAGGGGTCCCCAATAAAGGTTAAAAAGGGAATGTCTTGAACAACTCCCACATTTGCAGGAGGCTATTTGCAGAGGCTGCAGACGGATCCCCATATTCCCTCGTCATGTATATCTATATGTGCACGTATGCACACCCATATAAGCAAAATGAAGCCCTTAGCTAGCCCAGCCCAGCCCAGCCTGAAAATCTCGGTAGTTCGACCTGGACGCATGTGGGAGTTTCCGAAAATTGGGGACTGTTTTGCGGGGGTCCCTCAGGGGGTCCCTCTAATGAGGATTATAATACTTTGGTGTCTTTTTGGGGGTCCAATGTTTTGGGAAACTACCATGTACTGGACGATTTCTGGGGTTGCTACAGAGCTCCAGCAGAAACACCACCTTTTTGAGATTTTTTGAGTATGTAGTAGATCCTATACGGTTTCCCCTGTATGGGAGCTTGTCTCGAGTTCCTGTAGACAACCCAAATTTGGTTTTGCTGTCCGTGCGAGCTCTCATGTTTTTTCACTCAGGTCCCGAGCTTTCATACTGGCGCTCTGGTGGGTCCGTTCTGTTCGCAGTACCCTAAGTGTCCAGGTACGAAAATAGCATCAAAATTGTTTTTGCGACCTATTTCCCTAAACCCTAAACCCTGAACCCATTTCCCCTCAGGTTTGGGTACTTAAGCCGTTTGGGATATCTCTCAACCTACAGGTCCATTTCATGCTCGCCCAAAGTGCATCCTCATGACAGGGATCTTTCTCGTTGAGACCTTGATGCCACTGATCTGACATCTATATCATCTCTCTACTATATACACACCTAAGAGAGCCAGCAATTCAGAAATCTTTTGGCTTTGTACCATCCTTAGAATCTACAACCGCCAGAAATCAAGGCTCACATACGGGAGTTTCTCAAAAAATCCATGAATACACCCACAAAAGGCCACGATCATCTTGTTGCACTCTGTCTCCATCCCTATGGGGTCTCCAGGGCACCTCTATTTTGAGACGAGCGTATAAACCCTTTTTGCGTGTACGATCAACCCTAAACCCTGTAACATTTTCCTTTCTTCCCTACTTACCCCATTGCTGTGGGGCCATGGCTTCGTGTTCAACCCAGGATAATCATCGGGATGCTTCTCGAAGCCAGCCAGCATGCCCTCAGCCATCCCGGTTCGGGTCTGAGGTTTCCTGTAACCCCCATTACCTACAGCTTAGTAGGAAATACTTAAGGTTCAGGGCTTAAGGTCAAGGATTTGAGATTGTTTAGAGGTGGGGCTGAACAAATGAGAAGTAGCTTTTTAGGGTTTAAGGTTCAGCGGGTAGGACTTAGGGATTAGGGTGGGGCCTTCTCAGGCAGTCCCCTGCCCCAGTGGCTACACCAGGACACCCCCGAAGTTCGTGATAAGATGGACTGAAGTAGTTCGCCAGGACCTCACGGCAGCGAGGCTCTGCAACAGCAGTTCCCATCCAGACGCTGGCCTGAGAGCCTCCTCTGTCAACCCTTCCTTTCAGCCCCTGCTCAGCTGTTTCACGTTCAAGTGGCACCGGCAAAGTAATACCTACTATTCTGCTTTTCCCGCATGCTAACAGCAAGCATGTTCGCAAGGGGTTGGAACAACACACCTTCAACTTTCCTAGCTATCCAGATTGTGGAACCACACTCTGAGGCGCTGGCATTCATGACCTGGCCATTGCGAGCTGCACAAGCTTGGGCTTTCTAGGGTTGAGGTCTTCAGAAGCAAGCAGCGCGCAGCCGTCGAGTTTTGGCGGGCTTTTTTTTGCCGGGCCCAGCGCGCGCAGCTCCAACATTGACATCAGAATCATGCACGCAAATGGTATGCGCAAGTGAGACGTGCCCTAAACTCTCAGGAGCTGTGCCACCATTGCGATGAGACGCGGTGCGACACTTCATTTACAGCCGAATTTCAGGCATGCAATCTGCCAGCAATGGCCAAAATCGTGCTGATGGGGATCTATTGCCTGGGCATAGGAGCTGCTGCACACTAGCGCGCATCCAGATTACACAGCAAAGAACTGCTGGGCTGAGATGACCTGCGCCTGCCCTCCCAACCCTGAATCCGAAGGACAATAACTCAATAACTCGTCCAATGTTTCAAACGACATTCGCAGCACGTCTGAAGCCTGGCATGGACCTTGTTGCTTCCGCATCCTTGTGGTGTGAACGCCCGGACATTTCCCAGCCACCTTTCAAGTTTAAAGCCTTTTTGCTCCTTATCAATCAAGTTAGGAAGTTTCAAGCAGGGTGATTCTGTTAGCAGGAAACGCCTGAGCGCCCGGCCCCGGCTGCGAATGCACATCAACAGCCATCCACGTCTTTGACCACCAATGTGATCCCGGGACGGAGCACAGGTAAAGTTGGCAGTGCCGGATCTCTCCGCTGCACAATGACGACATGCTTCAGTGAGTTCGAAGAATTCAGCTGGGCAAGTCCTTCAGCTAGATGCATTCCTGAACGAGCAAAGAAAGCCAGCGTCTCCAATTTCGGGTGCGCCGCGAAGGACTGGAGAATCTGCTGAGGCCAGCCAATGCAAGCCGTGATGTCTACGTCGCGGAGAGAAGGGCATTGAAGAAGCATGTTCTGCAATTCAGTCATATGGTTTTGCGAGACATTCGTGACATCAAAGGGGGTGACTTTGCTGCTACTCTTGATTAAACGAAGCTCTTCCAAGGAGTGCAGTTGCTTCAGCGCCCAAAACGGCTGTCCCCTGCCATCGAAGTCTATGTTAAACCGTGGCATCCTGAGATGCAACACCCGAAGATTTGGAAGCCTGTTGAAAATCATCATGGGCCGCATGTCCCACAGCTCCATCTTCAAGGCCTGAAGGTTTCGGATGCGAGAAAATTCGTTGCGGAACTGTTCGATGCGTGAATTCACGCCTGTCCACTCAGTGCCAGTGTATGGGAGTAGGTCGACCTCTTGGAGATCTGGCAGGTTGCGGCTGACAGCTTTCATGGTCTCCTCGGTCAGGATATGTTTTCTGCCGTACTTGGACCGCTCCTTATTGTACCACGAGGCAGGGAAGCGGAGCACTTGCGAGTGCCTCCACTTGGGCTGAGCAAGCAAACTGTTGAAGCTTGAGGCGTTGTCCGAAGGGAACCAGCACTTGCTCCCCTCGACCCCGATCTCTGACAAGTCAAGCGTTAACGGCCAGTGTCTCTTCAGCGCTGCCCGGCTCTTCCTACACAGACTTTCCAGCTTTGTGAAGCATGGAGTGGAAAGAAGCCCCAGGAATACTACCAAGGCAGGCTCCTTGGCGAGCAAGAGCTCCCAAAATGCCAGGTGTTCTCTCTCGGGCACAGGCGCGGCTGCTGCAAGTGCTGAAGGGGAAATCCTGGCCCGCTTCGGCTGCAGTGCTGCTCCTGGATCATACCACAAGTTGGGGCATTCTCTCCTCTCTGAGGTCGCTGCCATTCCCCGTCAAAATACTTTTTTGTGTTGTCTCTCGGTTTTTGAATAAAGGGACGTCCAGGTTTTGAGGATTTTGTCTTCACCCTAGCTTACATGAATTAAGTCCACCGCTTAGAACGTCCCTGTCGATCTTGGTGACTTTTGCGTAAAGACTGCCGCTTTGACTAAATGAAGCAAACGGAAATTTTGACCGCGACTGATATGCCTGACAACTCAAATTTCACCCAACATTGGCCCAGTTTCCCTGGGATAGTGCTCCACTGCTGGAGGCGGGATTCTGCCCCAGCTGGCGCCGCAGCCACGCAACCTCTGGTGCTTAGGGGGTCTGACTACTTACTATCACCCCTATCCAGGCTATCTTATCCTGATATACCCTCAGGCCCTCAGCCATAAACCTCTGATGTCCACTCGTCGATCGGGGGGCTTCCAAAGATTAGCGGTCACTTCTTGAGGATCCTTGGGATCTTTATTGGCACCCCATACCTTACAGAAATCCCACAAGTAATTGATAGTACCTATGGTCTCTCCCCACCTAAGCAGCAGCAAAGCAACCTCTGCTTGGAGACCCTGGATCTGCAGTTCCCGCACCTGCAGGAGTGAGGATCTGAGGGTTCAGGGATTATGGTTGCGGTTTTAAAAGGTTTTCGGTTGCAGGGTCTCAGGGTTTAGGGAGGACACAGTTGAGTAGTGCTTTTCGGGGTGAACCAAGTATGAACAATCTTCTTATCACTAAATGGATTTTGAAGCCAACAGGGTAAGCACACCTTATCCTACATTCTCTCTACTTCAAAAGCTGCTGACTTGACGGTCCCTTTGTTGGGCTGCCCTTTGGTGGGCTGCCGTTGCGGAACCAAATACCCTAAGTTTTCCTCAAAACTCTACTTTTCCTACCTGTAGCCCCAATTAGAACGCCAACTGACATCCTTTTGAAAACGCCCATGGAGCTAACAAAGCTTGTGGAGTGCAGGATATGGAGTGCATGGGAATTACGACCTGTAAAGGATCGTTCAGGAACTCCTCTCCCTAAGGGTCCAAGGACCCAAATAATAGGGTTTTAGGGCCCAAATACCATTAATATTAGAATATTTGGGCCCTAAAGCCCTATTATTTGGGTCCTTGGACCCTTAGGGTCTGTGAAGCTGCTGGGTGGGTGAGGCCATCAAAGTCCTGCCTGAACCAGCTCCAGGGCATCTTGAAGCCGCTGCTCCAAGTCCGCCATGGCTTTCCTTCGCTTTGTCCTTCAAGTCTAAAATGGTAGTTTCCTTAAATAGGGGGACCCCAAAATACTATAATCCTTATTATTGGGACCCCCAAAAAGGTACACCTAATTTTGGGAAACCCCCATTTTCCCCAGGGCTGACCTGCTTTTGAAGTTGCTTAAGAACTCAAGTGCTGCAAATGCAGGGTTCTAAGTCTTCTCTCTGCAAACAGGCGAAGGGGACGAGCAGCATGCATTGGCGCTGTGTTCCACAACCTAGCAAGACTTCAACAGGAAGACAATGCCAGCAGCAACAGTTCGCCTGACGCCTTTACAGCAACGTGTGTTTGCCATAGTGCCACAAAGCTGCACAATCCCAACGCTCACTTTCACAATCAGAATCTCACTTGATTCCGTGCCCAATTGGAAGAAAGACTGGGACCTATGGCTAATGGCTACTGCCAACATGCACTCTTTCCCCATCCGCAGCGCAAATGCGTGCACATAGTACTGCGCAACCTCCCTCAGTGCATATCATACATCACCTGTACGGAACGAACCTAACTAGTGTGGAGCCTTTTGCTTTCAGACCGAACGGGCATAAAGGATGAAAGGACTCGTGCAAACACTCCAAGCCTATTTCTGAAAGATGCTTCCATGCATTACAATTACAAGCTACTGCGTGCGTGAAGCCAGTGCCCCAAACCCTGAACCCTAACCCCAAACTCTGACCCCAAATTCTAACCCCAAACCCATCCGAAGCCCGGAAACTGCCGCCTGGGAGTGGCACTTGGAGTGCACGCCAGGTGCATGGCCTGCGATGCTATCATTACTTCATTTCGGATGATGCGTTGGGCAGCCCAACAGTCGGACTTCTAGACTTGTTTGGGGTGTACTGGTGTTGCTGTAACCCCAATGACCTACACAATAATAAGTATAAGCCGTAAGGGTGTAGCTAAGTAAGGTTACAGGTAGGGATTAGGTTAATGTAAAAAATCCTGCGCTATTCTATGTACTAGAGTCCTGTGATCATGCAGGATTTCGTCCATCACAAGTAATTAGTCCTGCCAGTAAACACCGTGCTAAGGACATGTGGCTAACAAGGGAGCATCTGTTCGCAACAAGCAGCGAACCAGTGTCCCGACCATGGCGCTGACTCCCCCAAAGCATCAGCTAAAGCTGATGCACATACGGCGGAAGTAGCACGTCCAGGCGAACATCCTGAAGAGTATACTAGAAACCCAGCTTTGAGATTATTTAGGAAGGTTCTCGATTTAAAGCAAGAGGCCCGGGGTAGGGTAAGGTCTTGCTATTCCCAGGGCCGAACACCGCATGACCATTACAACACCGCTTAACCGGGGCAGTGGCATCTATCGTCCGCGGATGCGCGGGTGACCTTGTGACCGAAGAAGGTCAGGGACAAAGTCAATGGCAAAACTGGATGGTTGCATACTATGGAGCACAGGAGCCTTTCCGAAAAGTGACCTGTTACAGTCTTTATTGCGCATGATGTGCCATATACCAGGGTTGCATCCAAACCTGGGATTGATTGCACTTCGACGATCACAGCAGAAACATCATACGCTCAGCACACTCATCACGAGAACAACTCATCTCTACAACGACATAAGACGTCTCTAGCTCAGCACAGGTGGAAGGGCAAGCCACCCAAGCGCTCACACAAATCAGCATGAACAAGCACTCGAGCACAAAATGTTCTTGACATCAGCTCCCTGGAAAGGACCTCACACATAGCCTGTAAATTCGCCGCTCCCGAAATACTACCCCTGATGTTTGGCGACGACTTTCATTTTTGCAGAAGGGACATCAGACTACACTAGTCTCATTCATATCTAACATTGCATCTTGTCAACAGCGCTAAAAAGGCTGTAAAATGCAGGCTCCAGGGCAGTCACTTCTCCATCATCTCTTCCCCAGACCCCTAGTCTCCAGGCCACAGAAATCGGAGCCCTAGCTTCCAGGCTTCCTGCGCATGCCGCCAGCAACAGCAGGGCTGAAGAGAGCCTCGCGTCTCGCTGTTTTGGGCATGTCCGCCTTCTTGTTCTTCATTGTTTAACAAAATAATGGGGGGTTCTGATTATAAAACCCCCCCCCCCAAACAAGTCCGGCTCTGAATAAACCGGGGGGTCCCTAATCAAGTTCGGGAAAAGTTGTTTGGGGGGCCCGTGCCAATCCCGAACCTTAAGGCTGTAAATAAAATTAAAAGCCCGAAGCTAACGCCCTGAACCTGTAACCCTGACTCCCAA